CTGATGATGTTACTGTTACTGATGTTACTGTTGATGTTACTGTTACTGATGTTACTGTTCTGCTGCTGTTACTGTTACTGTTACTGCTGCTGTTACTGTTACTGCTGTTACTGTGGACTTTCCTCAGTTGTTCGTCCTCGTGGACGTGTTGGTCAGTGACTGGACAGATTTGACAACATGTGAAACGGTGTTCAAACCGAGGCACAGATTTACAGTCAATGACTCCTCAGTGGACGTGTGTTTGTATCACATTAGGCGGGCGTGTGTGTGTGTGTGTGGCTGCTTGTTTGATGGTGCCATCAGCTGATCGTGGAGACGAATGGTGTAAGGCCAGACACTGATAATCCAATCAGGAGCCTGCAGCACCGTGATAGGCTGAGAAGCAGGAAGTGTGATGTGATTAAAGGGACATTACGGCCATGTGCAGAGCGCCCAGTGCCTCGGGGTTGACAGGTGCTCACACACACACACACACACACACACACACACACACACGCGTGCAATAAACCTGGCTGCCGAGACACGAGAGCAGAGACAGAGACTGATCCAATTATTAGAGACGCTGCAGACGAGGCCACAAACACCGTCCTCCACGTTTGGCTCTCGGCTTTTTCCCTGGACCGTTGAGACCTGGACTGGGACGTGACACCGTCCTCACGTTGACGTCCGTCTTTTCCCCGACCAACAGAACGTCGACTCAGACGTCCATGTCCCATCCACGATAATCACTGTAACTCTGATCAGCGCTGCCCCCTGTCTGTCACTCATGTCTCTTTTTTTTTTTTGTTTAAAGCCCCCCCCCCCCCCCCCTGGTTTCTAAGTGGTTACGATTGGTAATTACATACAGATGGTGGAGATCAGGACCTGTTACGTGTCAGGTCCGTGGGGGGCGGGGGCTGTTAGTGGGACACGTGTCTTACAGCTGTGACACAACAAGGGTCCAAATGATCCAATAACTGACTGCAACAAACACTGGCTGCCACTGGAGGCGCCGTTATTCAATCCAGCTGTGTAACGTTTACAAAGAAAAGCTGCTCAGACCCCTGCTCTGTGTGTGTGTGTGTGTGTGTGTGTACCTTCTTGGTGAGGTTGTGGTCCTGGTCGTGGGGCATGCGGGTGGAGACGTGGTAGATAACCTCGGTGGTAGACGTGGCGTAGTAAGGTGTGGTCTGGCCGGTGCTCCGGTTCCTCTGGAGACCTCCCATGAAGCCACAGTGAGTGGTGAGGTCCACCTAGGGGTCACCATCGGTACAGCACATTGTTTTTGATGAACCCAGTGACTACCAGTGAGACGGTCCTATCATTATGGGACGTTACCTCCCAGCCCAGTCCAGAGACGAAGTCTTCGTAGGCCTGGCTGCCTGCCGTGTTGGTCAGGATGGAGTGTTTGTCTTCCTGACCTTCAGCCACGTAAAACACTGCGATTTTATGGGTTTCACGACTGGAGGAGAAACGAGCACAAAAACGGTCAAGACAAGTGGTTCCACCATCAGGTGACACACACACACACACACACACACTAACGCTGTATTGCAAAAACTAAACTAAAAGACGTTACTAAATAATTATACATATAAAAGTTTTGTCTTTAAAAATGAGGATTCTCATTTTGATTTAGTTCAGCTAACGATCGCTGGTAGCTTTGTTTACCTAGACGAGAGCGTACACAGCGTACTATTGGCTAATACAATGTGTACCTGGTGTTCTATTGGCTAATACAATGTGTACCTGGTGTTCTATTGGCTAATACAATGTGTACCTGGTGTTCTATTGGCTAGGAGAGAGGTCACTGTATTTACTTTAACAATGAAGAAGAAGACTGGGTTCTGTATTTACTTTAACAATGAAGAAGAAACAGTGAAGACTGGGTTAAAAAAAAAAGAAAAGAAAAGATGTAAAAAACAGGAAAGAGAGAGAGAGAGAGCGAGAGAGAGAGCGAGAGAGAGTGAAAAGACTGGTCTCTCAGGTGGTTGACCTTTATACGACCTTACCACTGCCGTGAGTCCAGGTTCTTCAGCTCTCTGAGTAACTTCTCGTTCTTTCTGAGCAGGTGGAAGTTAGTCCTGCAGAACACACACACACACAGAGTCAAAGGTCAAAGGTCATGACATTAGGACACAAAGTCTTTGACGTAACGTCATGTGTCGTGATGTAACGACGCATCGTAAATCAGCTAACAATCGCTACAAATCTGTGACAATTCCTATTGGTTTAAAATGAAAACTGACTGGTCCATGAAGGAGTCACTGGTCAGACCATGACACTACACCCTCCAGTCCACTAGGTGGCAGTATGCTCCTAAAAACATTGGAGCAGATCAATGGTGATGTTCCAGTGTTTCTGGACAGAAATGACAGACCATGTCAGTTGGTGAGGTTCACAGACCATGTCAGTTGATGATGGGATTTGACCCAGTTCTGAGGAGATCAGTGGATTTGGTCACAGTTTGACTGGAGATCATCGGGTTTAAAATCGTGATAAAATCGTGATAAGATCGTAGGGTGCGTTGAGTGCACCGTTACGTCTGTAGTCATGTGACTTCAAAGTAAGTAAGAATCCTGTGGATTAATGTAAGTGGAGAGGTCGCGCCTGAGGTCAGAGTTCATCCAGATCAGCTTCACCTGGTCCACACACACACACAGACAGAACAACAGACCGTGGTGACAACCTGGGCACTGATAATACAGAAGCTGGACTCCAGCAGTGCTGGTTGGAGTGGACCCATAATGACTTACCATTCTTTACCCTCTTAGAGAGAGGGAGATAAAGACGGAGAGAGAGAGGAGGGAGAGAGAGGGGAGAGAGAGGGGAGAGAGAGGGAGAGACGGCAATTTGTCCTTTATTAAACTGATACTTGGTAATGGCCTCATTCTCTGCTCTCAAAGACTCCATTTACATTCTGCACCGTAGGCAGAAAAGGACAAGGACGCCAACACACACACACACACACACACACACACCCCCTACAGGCGGCCGTCAGTATGTCAGTGTGCACAGATGACGTCCACTGATAATGAGGCGTTCTTTCAGCTCTCTGTAATTGATCCATATTTACTCACTTGTTTTGGTTCCATTCATTTCTGCTCTTCATCACAGAACATCCTCCTCCTCCTCCTCCTCTGCTCTAATTCACCCTCCATCATTCCTGTCTTCAACTACTGCTTTTTATTCTAACTACAAATGGGTGAG